CAATCGCTTTTTTGTTAAAAATTACCTCAACGAAGCGTGCTCAAGAACAGCTGCTAAAAAATAGAACGTCAATAGTTTTTCGAATAATTTTTAATAATAATTTAACCTGGTTTTGTTACCCGGTTTCTACCGATGTAAAGCGAATTTCCACACACCCTGAAAAAGGCTCAATAAACATAAAAAATACAATAAAATTTGAATCTCATATTTAACCAGGTAATGTTTTCTTTTTTTTTATTTAAGCGCACCATTTATTAAATATTGTTCAATATGCAATTTTTTTTGCTTAAATATGTCTTTTATACCTGTAAAATTTTTATTCTAACATTTTATTTTATTTTATTTTACTAGAAATAAAATTCCTTGTAAACATTAAAAATCTATTCAAACATTTGTTAAAGTTTTTTAGTAATACCAGTGATTGTGCTTTTCAACCGCTTTATGAAAATAAATAAAAATAAATAAATAAAAAAATATTATATAAAATCGCTGGTAAAAATATTAGCTGTTGCACAGTTTTTAATCGTACAATATTAAAATTTCCAGTTTATTACTCGCTGACTTTTTAAAAAGAAAAAATAATTATTTGAAAAACTTTAAATTACATATTTAAGAAAAAAAAATCAAATATTAGCATATTTTATAATCTTTTTTAAATGTTTTTTATTCGTTTAGTATAGACAAAACGTGTCAAACGTCGAGAAAATAAACAAATGTTTTTACATTTTAAAAAACAAAACATATATATATATATATATTTATATATATATATATATATATATATATATATATATATATATATATATATATATATATATATATATATATATATATATATATATATATATATATATATATATATATATATATATATATATATATATATATATATATATATATATATATATATATATATATTATATATAATTAAAAACGAAAAAAGAAAAAACTTTTGTTATGGTACTTTAAGTTTCATGCCTAACGGCAATCATCAGCCATATATTACAAAATTTAAAATAGACGTTAAAATTACAATTAAAATTACGGTGGCGTGAGTTCTAATGACTCCATGGAAACAAAACTTTAAGTTTTAAGAGTATCACGTGGCGTAAAAGTGACGTAAACCAATCAGGATCAATCTGCGGTATCATAGGAGGAAATAAGAAATTTATTTTTGTGCCTACACTTCGAGATTATTTCACTCCTTGTGTTAAGTAGGTTAATCCAAGCAGCTCCATTGCTATATAATAACGATTTTCTTGCATGGTATATAAAACTCTTTTGCTCACTATTTATTATTAGATGTTGCTCTGCAAAGGATAACGCATTTTTCAGCAGGTTTTCATTAATCGATGGATAAAAAAGTTTTTATCCATCGATTAATGAAAATTGTCTTTCTAACAACATTGTTTATCAAGCCACCGTTTGTTCAAACAATCCGGAGTACAAAGAAAAAGTGTATTTTGGACTCAGCGAGACATCTTTTAAAGTTCGATACGCAAACCACCTCAAATCTTTTAATTCAATTAGATATAAAAATGATACAGAGTTATCTAAAGAAATATGGAAATTAAAAGAAAAAAACTTTACACCTTTTGTCAGATGGAAAATTGTTAAACATTGCAAACCATACAACCCAACATCAAGAGTGTGTAACCTCTGTTTGAACAAGAAGTTTCAAATTCTAATGTATAAAGGTAAAAACCTACTTAACACAAGGAGTGAAATAATCTCAAAGTGTAGGCACAAAAATAAATTTCTTATTTCCTCCTATGATACCGCAGATTGATCCTGATTGGTTTACGTCACTTTTACGCCACGTGATACTCTTAAAACTTAAAGTTTTGTTTCCATGGAGTCATTAGAACTCACGCCACCGTAATTTTAATTGTAATTTTAACGTCTGTTTTAAATTTTGTAATATATGGCTGATGATTGCCGTTAGGCATGAAACTTAAAGTTCCATAACAAAAGTTTTTTCTTTTTTCGTTTTTAATTATAAACCGCTCTGTTATGAAATTTATATATAATCAAAATAAATTTCTTAAATACTGAGCACTTTTCAACAAACAAGAGTTGTGTATTATTTTAATACAACACTACATAAAACGGCATATATAGATATATATATACATATATATATATATATATATATATATATATATATATATATATATATATATATATATATATATAAATTGTTGTTTATATATATATATATATATATATATATATATATATATATATATATATATATATATATATATAAACAACAATTTATATATATATATATAAATCGTTGGTTTTGAGAGTACGGAAGGTAAAAAATGATTCTTTTGACAAAAAAATATGTCACTTTTAATTACTTATGACTTTCATTCAAAATTTCTGTGTTGTCACAAAGTTAAAACCATTAATTTAATCTTTTTTTTAAAAAACCGCAACAACGCAATTTGACCAGGAGTTTTTTTACAACATTCTGAATGTTTAAAAAACTAATTGACCAGGAGTTTTAAAAACATTCTGAATCTTTTTAAAAATATAAACAATGTTTTTATTTTTATTTTTTAAATAAAATGTTTTTATTTATATCTTATTTTCTATTGTAAATCATGCGCGAGTGTTTCTACATTGACTATCTTATACCCTGACTCGCAACAGAGTCCTGCTACATTGACTAACAAATAGCCTGACTCGCAAAGGAGTGCTGCTACATCAACCAAGGGTTTGGTTTGGGCAGGCAGTCTATCAAATAATAAAAGTAAAAAAATTCCGGTCTTGCATTAAGATTTTTTTTTTATGTCAACAAAATATGGAAAAACTTTCTGACGTTGCAAGGGTCTATGTATATATATATAGGGGTGCTAAAGAGAGAAAATATTTCTAAAATGTGTATTATTACTATATCAGAGGTGATTTGGGAGCAAGGGAATGCAAATGGGTACCTGAAATATTAATCGACTATGACTCAAGGGTATTTGTTCGCTGTTTTAGAGGGAAGATGGTTTAGTAGACATGTTCACGAGTCTTTCCCTAATAGAGGATATAAGTTGTCCAGGCAGGGGTTGAAAAAATTTTGGTTTGAGCTTGCAGCATACCTGACAGTCAGAAATTATGTCTCTTATTTCACTGATAGTGTAAGGTAAATTCCGTGTTTTACAGTAGTAGTTCAATCACGTTATTCCTGGGTGGCAATAGTTTGATATGTAGTTGTCGTAGTGTATTAAAATAGGTATTTATGGCAAGACATCTAGAGAGTACATCTGCTGTAATATTTTCTGGTTCAGATCTATATGAAATATTGAACT